ATCCCAGCGCTTTATTATTACTTTTTGTAATTTTTTATTTTTTGAGATTATAATATAATTCCATCTTGTCCCCTGCTTCCCTTTTCTGCATATTATATTTTAATGACAGAGTCTGAGTTCTGCAGCCTGGTCTTAGACATGAGGTCACTCTGCTTCCACCTCTTCAATAGCTGGGTTCACTGCACTGTCATGTCTGGCTCAAGTAGTATTTTAGGTAGCCATGAAATATATGCTGAATTTTTTATTTTTAATAAATATCTAACATTTCAAGCCTTTTAAATTAATGAGAAATGTTAGTTTAGTATTTACCACCCGGGAACACATCTATAAATAGTATATTTTAAATTCTAGTGGACAAAAGATGGTGTTTGTTAGATTTAATACCTACCAGTTGGTTATTTGGAATGAAATGAGTAGTTTCCATCACCACCACCCCAGTACTCAGTGTAGAATCTGACAATTGGTGATATTTTTCATCATTTAGACATTAAACCATGTTTTTATTTCATGTTAGTTTTACTCTTCTATTAATCAGATTGTTTTCTGTGCTTCTAGTTTAGTTATTTCCTAACTTAGAATTGTCTTTGATAATTGACATGTACTAAATTTTTTTTGTTAAGAATTTTACTTCTGAACCAGGTGTGGTGGCACATGCCTTTAAACCCAGCATTTGGGAATCAGAGGAAGGTAGGTCTCTGTGAGTTCAGGGCCAGCCTGGTCTACATAGTTCTAAGACAGCCAGGGTTACATCAAGAGGACTTGTCCTGGGGCGGGGTGGAGAAAAGAAAAAATTTTACTTCTGTTACCTCCTGTATTTTAATATAATGAGAGAATTTTATTGTTATTTTCTGTTGTAGAAATCAAGACTCAAAGACATATATAAAACAAGTGAAATAGATAGTTGAGTCATACCTGTTTATATGGGCTAGGATAGATGGATGATGGATGATGGATGGATAGATATTTAGATAGAGCTAATGCTCTGCTATTGCAACATTGAAATAGTAATAATAATAATAATAGCAACAACCACTTAAACACTTAATATCACACTTTGCTGTACCAAATACTGCTTTATACCATTTTGTTAATTTCCTTAGTCCTTACTGCATCCTCATGGAGTAGGTATACTTTTCTTCATTCTCCAGAGGATAGAAAGGTAGAGATAGATAGATAGATAGTTAGATAGATAGATAGATAGATAGATAGATAGATAGATAGATAGATGTAAAGGAAAGTTAAGAAACTTGTCTAAGACTACACACAGCTAGCAAACATTAGGAATATTATTGAGCAGCCTGGCTCTGCCATATATGGTTGTGAATACTGTGTTCTGCCTCATCTGACAGTGAAGACAAAAATACTGTGTGAAAAGTATTAAAGAAAGGTCTGTGCATTATATAATGAATATGGCTTTGAAATAGTTTTTAGAATGTGTTTGCCGTTCCTATTTAAAACAAACTAAACAAGGCAGAGGAAACCTAAATGCTTATAAATATCCTTTAAGTATATAAAAACAAATCATTAATTTGTACACCTTTGAAGTATCTTTTCTTAGGAAATTTTAGCTTAAAATATGCATTTTATCACACACAGTGAATTACATCCATTTAAAATTATTACTGTATATTATGTGCATGTGTGTTTTGTCTGCATGTGTGTCTGTGCACCATGCATGTGCCTGGTGCCCACGGAGGCCAAGGCAGGCAAGGATTCTCTGGAACTGGAGTTACAGATGGTTGTGAATTTCCATATTGGTGCTGAGAATCAAATCCAGGTCCTTGTGAGAGCAACCAGTACTCTTAACCTCTGAGACCTTCCTCCAGCCCCCAAATTATATCCATTCTTAGATAGGGGATCAAATTTCTCAGAAAACCCATCTTAATAAGTTGTTTATAGTCATGTAACACAGCATAACCTAAGAAGAGAGGGATGAGGAAAGTTAGAAATAAATTCTAATCCTTGGATATAAACTCACACTAGTACTTCATTTATAGAAGTCAGATTCTATATTGTATAGTGTTTCTGCCAGAGATACAATTTATACTCATTTTATGATTATATTAATATTGTCCCATTTTATGACCGTGCTTGAATAATTTTGTAATAGATGACTCCAGGAAAGATATTGTGACTGTTGTTGATTACCTGGAGGCTTCTTGCTGGGGAGGGGTTGGCAGGGTGTTGTACAAATATTTATGAAATGTTTCTGAACTGTTCTCTCTTTCTTGCTTTTGTTTAGTATATTCCTATATTAATAGCATACGAATGTATGTAACTGTCTTTCATTTTCTTAAAAAAGAATGTTGTTGTTGGGTTTGGGGGTCTTTGGGGGGGTAGGGGTGGGTTGGGGATTGCCCATGAAGCCCAGAAAGAGGGTATTGGATCCCCTGGAGCTGGAGTTAGAGGAAGCTATGAGCTACAGGTTTTGGGAATTGAACTCAGTTCCTCTAGGAGAGGGCCTTCCTCAGTACACTTGCTCTTACACCCTCCCGCCCCCCTTTTCCCCTCAGGACAGTGTCTCACTGTGTACCCTTGGCTGGCCTGGAACTTGCAGTATAGACTATGCTGACCTTGAACTCGGATCCCTGACTCTGCCTCTCTGGTATGGGCTTAATGATGTGTACCTCCATAACCTCCATTCGTTCCTTACCTTAGAGGAAAAATAAATAGCAAAATATTTTATAAGCTGTTCTGAAAGAACCAGTTCTAGCTCTGCCTTTGTCCTTGACCATTCCAGGCTTTAGCCCCAGTTATAGCAACCTTAAAACAACATTGTCTTTATTATCAGTGGTATGAAAATCTCAACAGCATAACTAAAGGATAAAGGAAAACTGTGTGGCCAAATGACTAGCAACTATAAATTTTTTCAAGTGGTTAAGGGACTGAACAGATGTAAAAGTCTCATTCTTGATATTTTTTCCAAGATAAAGTTTTGTGGTTTTACTAGAATGATGTTTTGTAAAATGCCTCCTCCAAGACCCTAAGTACAATGCTGAAGTGTTGAACATTGTTATAGGCCTGCTTTGGTGGCACACACCTTTAATCCCAGCACTTGGTTGGCAGAGGCAGAAGGCTCTCTGTGAGTTTGAGGCCAGCCTGATGCACAGAATGAGTTCTCAACCAACCAGTGTTATGTGGTGAGACACCTATGTAAGAGAGGGAGGGGAAGGAGAGAGCTAGAGAACATTGTTTCGGGTTATTAGGTCATTCTTAGTAGCTGTTTATATATTAAGGATGGAGTCAAAACAAATAGAATAGAAATAAGGTGATTTTTATAATTTGGGATGCCAGCCTTATATTTATACTTTTATTTTAAAATAAGCATCATATAAGTCAAGATTTCTCACAAGTTAGAACTTAAAATATAGTGTAAGAATTGGGCTTTTTAAGTTCCCTTGTCCCTTGTCCCTTGGGGAATGCTCTCTCCTTTCTGCTCCAGTACTTTATTGAAATGCTGTTGTGTTTCCTGGTTATAAGCTAGACCAGAGATTCTATGGGGTTCTCTTTCAGTAAGTGCTCCTATCTTCAAAAGGAGTGAAGGGAAGGTATGTCCTTCATTATAACAAGTTAAGAGCCTGCTTAGGCCTGTGCATCTGGTTCAGTTGTAGAACACTTGGGGCTCGCTTCAGACCCTGGCGCCCACTCTTGGCACTGTGGTAAAAGCAGAAAAGAAGTCTGAGTAATTTGGATTTTTAAAGTGTGATTTGTTGTTAATTTAGGAAAAGTAATCATTGTTATATCAGTTTTGGAATGGGTGCCAGGAAAAAGGGATAGCCACAGATGAGTTTTCTCTGTGGAGACAGCTAGCCAAAGTGTCTGATACTTGGTTTTGTATTTTTTGTTGTTGTTGTTGGAATTTTCTTTGGGCCACCAACCAGCTTCCTAATAAATGTAGACTTTTTGGGGGGTTTTATATTTTTTAATGTTTATTCCCCATGTGTTCTTGTGTTTCCACAAGCTGTTAATGACCCAGCAAATGGGAAGTTTTAAAGTTCTGCTGTATTTTGTCCTTGAATATCCTTGCTCTTTGGGGAGAAGGCTTTGGATAGTCTCTACAGTTTCTGTGGCTTTGATTTGTCATTTTGGTTTGATTGATTAATTGATTTAGAGACGAGGTCTTGTTAAACAGCTATGGCTGGCTTAGAATTCACTGTATGTACCAGGTTGTACTCAAATTTAGAGTAATCCACTTGTCTTTGCCTCTTGAATACTTGGGTTAGAGATGTGTGCAACCATGCCCAGCCAATTATTAAGCTTTTCTTTTTGAAAGAAGATCTCACTTGTAGCCCAGCTGGCCTGTTTTTAACTGTGGAACACAGGCTGGCCCTAGAATCTTGGAGGCCATCCTGTGTTAGCCTCCTAAGTGCTGGGATTACAGGTGTGAGCACCATGTCCACCTTTATTTGCCATTTTTTAGAAGACATTATACATTGTGAATATGCTCTATAAAACTTTAAAAATACTGTCCATTAAGAAGTAACTTATTTGCAAGATTAGTTAAGACTAAAAGCTGAAAAATACTAAAATATTGAAGCACTTTTAGAAAATGTCAATGCCCAGTGCACTGTTGCCTTGCCATAGAGTGTGTCCTGAGAGAACTCAGTAGCATCTGCCTGAGCAGCTCCGTGCAGAGCCCTTTCATCTTACACTTTAGCTGCTGCTAATTCTTTCTGATGTTGAAGCCGCTAAAAAGGAAATCATAGATATTCTCTTAAGTAATGTGCTACTTTATTATGTATGTCATTGCATGTGCATAGCTTTGGGTTCCTTAATCAAAGGGTATGGTTTTTAGTGTATTTGATTTCCCTCTAAATCTGAGGCAGTCATGTGCACAAAGCTAGAAATTAATAATGTTGCTTTGCACTTTAAAGGAGAACCTAACATGAACAAAAATTATGACAAGAACAACCTAACTTAAGTTCTTTTAAATTTTAGGAAATGTCATATTTTTACTGGTTTCAGAGATTTTTTTCAAATGTTTTAAACACAATTTTCAGATAACAATAATGAAAGGCTGAGCCCCAAACCAGGGACAGGTGAACCAGTTTTAAGTTTGCACTACAGCACAGAAGGAACAACTACAAGCACAATAAAACTGAACTTTACAGATGAATGGTAAGTTAACCTTTTTGTAAAGACATTCTTAGCCGTTTTGTAGAATTGTATTAGATCTGCTTTTTCTGTACTTCATTTTATGTTTTGTTTTTGCAGTACTGTATTGGTTGTGGAAACTGTAGTGTGCTTTAAATTCCTTGAAGAATTTATAAATACACAGATAGCTCACTCTCAGTGGATAAGAGCCCTTGCTATGCAAGCAGCCATGTAAAAAAGCTGAGCATGGCTTCACATACCTGTATATACCTGTAGCCCTAGCACTAGGAGGCAGACTGGCGATCCCTGGAGCTCACCAAGGGACAGTCTCAAGGCCATAGGTGGAGAGCAATAGTGGAAGACCCCCCAGCATCTCCCTTTGGCATGTGTGTATGTGTTTGTATACACATACACACACAAATCAAACTCAGAAAACCCTACAGATCAACAGATTCCACCAGCTGATTAGCTATGAGCCAGGCCTAAGAATTTACATTTCTAAAAATTTAGCAAATTGTGTTTGTCATCCTGGGATGTTTGTTCTGATAGAAAGTACAAGCAATAATATAGTCACCTACATTAATTAGTTTAAAATATTTTAGTCTTTGTTCTCTCTTTTCTGATATTTTTTTAAAAGATTTTATTTATTTATTATGTATACAACATTCTGCTTCCATGTATATCTGTACACCAGAAGAGGGCACCAGATTCCATTACAGATGGTTGTGAGCCACCATGTGGATGCTGGGAATTAAACTCAGGACCTCTGGAAAAGCAGTCAGTGCTCTTAACCTCTGAGCCATCTCTCCAGCCTTAGAACATAATTTTAATTATGCTGAATATACTCCATTCTGTGTTTGTTAAACTTAACTTTATAGTAAGCATTATTAACTGTAACTAAACATTATTTTCCTTTAGTTACTTGTACTAATTGTTATTTTACTAGTCCATCCAGTAAGGCTGTTATAGATTACTTATTTATTCCCTTTTAATTGGAAAATGAACATCATTTTAACCCATTAAGGGAAAGTCTTCCTTTTAAAACTTTTCCTACCTTCAGCATCATATCTGTGATATATATTTCCAGAGATGAACTACATTTAGATCAAAAGATGTTGCCAGTTTATTTTTAAAGGGCTTTCTCTTTCTACATTTCAGTTAGTGTATGAACAAACATATTTTACTCTTCTGTTCAATGCATTTTTTAATTTATTTAATTTAGAAATGGCTCAGCTGTTAAAGGCTAGGCTCACAACCAAAAAGTATTTATTTCTTTAATCATGATTTTTAAATAATTTTACTTGTTATTTTATTATTAGAAAGGTTGGACTTTTATACTCATTTAATACTTTATATGTTGTCTTTAATAACATTTTCTGATTTTATTCATATATTTACCTGATTTTTACATTTAAGAAATCAATTTATGTAAACATTATCTTTCCCACTGTTTAGAGGCCTTTTGATTGATTGTTATCCAAATGTTTTTATTTAACCTTATGTGGTTAGCAATTTATGAATGTTTGTTGACAATATGATACTTATAAACATATAGTTATATGCTGGCATAATTATATAAAGTATTATATAATTATGTCAGTTATTTATAATCACTTATAATTATCTATCATTAATATATTAAGTCATGTTAATATATTAAATTTTTGTAAATATATCATATGCTGTTATAAAGTATATTATGTACAAATAATATATCACATGTTAATATATTATTAATACATAATTATATGTTTGTGATTGATTAATATGTGATTATTCAGTTCACTGGCCTACATGTGTGTTTATGTTTGAATGTATTTTACAGTAAAGCCTGATTAAATAGGATTTCAAATGTTATTGAAGACCTTCTATGTGCCAAGGATTATTCTAGACATTGGAAATGCTTAAGAAAAATAGTTTCTAAAAAAATCTGTGCCCTCTGGAACTTGCAATCTAGGTGGAGGAAGTGGACAATAATTACAATAAATAAGTATACAGTATAGCATTTGGAAGGCACTAAGTTCTGTGGAAGAAAATAGAGCAGGTAAGGACAATCTGGAAACCTAGTGAGAAGATGGCATGCATGTAGGAGAAGTAGTTTGAGGCAGAGAGACATCCTGTGTAATGTTGGAGCAAAGCAGTCATGTTGAGGGATCTTTTAGGAAGCTGGTGTATGTGACACACAGTGAGGAGAGACACAAGTAACAGATAAGGACAGCCAGGACAAGGATGAGGCTGTTTAAAAAACATAAAAGACATTTGGTTTTTGTGTTCATGTTGCACTATAGATGCTAGATAAAGACTGTAGCCATAAGCAGAGTAAGAAGTAGCTATGGCTTGTGCGAGAATGGGAGCAGTAGAGATTGTAAAGAATCAGATTTAAGATTAAGTCAATGGGATTTCTTAATGACCCCAAGTGTTTTACTATTACATTTTAAAACATGATGTCTGTGGCCCTGATCCATAATATATAATTTAACACAAGGTTCTCATATTTATTATTTAGTCCCTATCTCTTCTACTCTCATCTTTCTATACAAGACTGCCTTCTTAAGGAAGGATGCATTCAGATAATCCTAAGTTTTATTCTATTTTTCTTGAATGCTAATTTCTCTTAAAATGACCATAAATTATATTGTCATTTATTAGTTGGTCAAATATTACCATTTTATTTTTAAAATATTCAATATACATTGTTGAAAATAAAGCAGAACATTAAAAACTATGCATGTTTTCTTTATTTCAGTATGTGTATTGCTTTTTATTTTTCGTATCTTTAAAGACAGATGAGGTAGTAGAGTACACTACAAAGTTGGACTCTTAACTTGACAGCCTGAGGAATTCTCCAAATCCCAGTTTTTTAAAGTGGAAATGGCCATTTTTAAAAAGAACTTATTTCTAAGGTTTGTTGTAAAGATTTAATGGGATTTTGCAGAGAATGTACCTTAAACTTAGCACATTTTGTATATGATAAGTCCCATATAACTATAGCAATAATCTTTTATAAATTGTTATTCTACTGTGGTCTTCATCCTTTCCTGTTGGCTTATGAGAGCAGTTGCAGAACCAGGTGAGGGTGATAGTGTTTTTTTTGTTTGTTTGTTTGTTTGTTTGTTTGTTTACATCTGTTGTGGTGCTTTCCAGGTTTGGTGTTTGTTTTTCGGTTTACTTACAGTGATTTTGCTGTAAGGTTTCTGCCTGTAATCTTGTTCTTCCCAGAGTTATGGAATACCTTCTCTCATGTTACTTTTGTGTTTTGTATAGTTTTATAGTAAAAATGTCTATGTACTAATTGTGGAATTGTTTTTCTAGCAAATGTGATGCTGAGTTATAGTGTTAGCTTTCCCATGGCTGTTCCTTTGTCACAGTACTGTTGATTGTGCAGTCTTCTCATTTTACTGCGATTTAGAATGCCATAGCAGCTATGTTGAGTGTGTCTACTTAAGTAGCGTGTCTTTTGCAGTAGTGGCTCTTTTCCTATGTTAGTATCAGAATGTTTTAATCATCATAACTATTGTACTCTAGCATTTTATTTATGTCTGTATCATAGCTTTCTCAGTAAGGAAAAAATTGTATCATATTTGGTTTTATTTACCACAGTGGCTTTGTATTCTACCCTGGTTAAAAAGATATTCATGGGGCCTGAAAGATAGCTCATCAGTTAAGAACAACAGGTCCTCTGTTTTTCCAGAGGACCTGGGTTTGGTTCCCAGCACTTGTATGGTGGTTCCCAACCGTCTGTAACTCCACATGCAGAGGATCAGATGGTTGCTTCACACACCAGACACCCACGTGGTACACAGTCATACATGCAGCCAAAATAACCATATATTAAAAATAAGGAAGGAAGAAAGAAACACATGTTCTTTACAAAAAAAAAAAAGAAAAAAGAAACAGCATAAAATATTTAACTGACAGGACTGATCCAGACCCCTGAACATGGATGTCAATGAGGAGGCCTCTGCACTCCAGGGGGCCTCTGGTAGTAGATTAGTATTTTTCCCTGGTGTAAGAAGGGACTTTGAGAGCCCATCCCACTTGAAGGGTTACAATCTTGCCCTGAGCACATGGGGAAGGGCCTAAGCCCAGCCCAGGATGATGTGGTGGACTTTACGGAGCCCCCATTGAGGGCCCTACCCTGCCTGGGGAGTGGAGGGTGGATGGGGTGGTGGGTAGGTTGGGGGTGGGAGAGGAAAAGTGGGGGTGAAGGGAGGGAGAGGGAGAAGGGATTGACATGTGAAACAAGCTTGTTCCTAATTTGAACTAATAAAAATTTTTTTTAAAAATCTTTAACTGAAATAATCCTGTTGAGATGACACTTTAGGCTGGTTCACAACCCTCCTGACTTTCTGCATATATACCCATGTAGATATATATTATTGTTTAAAACAATGTGTTTATCTATACTTTAAAAATATGAAATTGACTTTTGTAATTTGCTTAAAAGGAATTTTACAAAATCTTGGCAAAAAGTCCCTAGCAATTTGTCTTTTTGCATTTATTTGCTTTCTGCATGTGTATGTATGTATAGGTGTGCATCATGGCATGGATGTGGGAGCCAAAAACACCTCGGGAGAATTGTCTCTCTCCTACCTCCAGTGGGCTCAAGCCATCAGGATTGGCAACAAGAACCTCACCCACTAAGCCATCTTACTGGCTCTAAATTTGATTTTAATCTCAGATTGTTATACATCATCCTCTTTCCTTATCAACCCTCTCCTTACACATGTGCCATGACTTCTTATGGAATACTTACTGCAAATTACTATTTGAATGGGTCTCATATTGTACTATAGCCAGAAATGCAAATGGGATTATGGCCATCATCAGGTGGGTATTAAAACTGAAATAGAAAAAACAATCTCTTTTTACAAAACTGTAATGCTCAGTAAACACACACACAGACACACAAACACACACACACACACACACACACACACACACACACACACACACACACACACACAGAGCCTCATTAAGGGACATGTAGAAATGTGTAGCAGGCAACAGAAGCATCAAAATAGTGACTTAAAGGGCTTTCGTTTAAAAATCTTTCTAAGATGAAGTGTGCTGGAAGTCATGTTTTTTTTTTTAATGGCTTTTCAAGGTCTTGTGTTCTAAATTTTCTAATTTATTTTTGAGTTGTAAAATATAAAAGTTACATCAAAATCCTTCTGTTAACTTTTGGTAGAATCACTTATCTTCTTGTGATCTAGGAGCAATACTGCCTCAAGTTCCAGAGGAAATGGGAGCCATTGCAAATCTGAGGGTCAGGAGGACCCCTTGGCTCCACAGAGCTCTATGCAAGCACCTGAAGGAGACAGCGAAACAAGTTAGGTTATTTTGTTGATGATGTTTTTTTTTTTTTTTCTTATAAGAAACCTCAGTGCTGAATATTCACCTATTTTTTTCTATTCCCCAACAATGGTTCACTTTTGTTTGTTCTTTGTAGAGTGAGTTTTGCTTTATTGTTAAAATTTATTGCATGTGATCCATGCCTGTGGAGGTCAGAGGACAGCTTTGTGACATCAGCTCCCTCCTTCCACCTTTACTTGGGTCCTAGGGATCAAACTCAGGTCTTAACTAGTGCCTTTACCCTGTGAGACTTTTTTGTGGAGCCCTGGGTGAGATTTTATTTGAATGTTTAAATTTCTGTGACCCAGATAGAAGTAAAAGCCATTTATTTAAAAGAATGTTGGGGTATTATGTTCTTTTTCTTTAAAAAAAAAAACTAGATTTAATGAATTTTGTTTAATTCTAGGAGCTCCTGAAGAACTATCAGAAAAAGGAACATTTTCAGAAAACCTCACTCAAAACCAGATAGATATAGGTGAGTTGTCTGTCTTTAGGAAATTGACTCATATACAAAACTAAACAGCCTTTATCTGTGTCAATGTCTCCAGAGACAAAGGTCACTTCCAAATGATGGCTGTGCTGTTTTCTTCTCTTGTAAGAGTATCAGACTTCATAGTGGAACATGTTAGCTCCTAAGTATGCAGTGGTGAACACATGACTAACTTATGCAAGATTTTGTTTTCTGACAGCACAATCTGATACCTTCCCCACTGAGCCATTGGATCCTAACTCAGGAGAAAGGAGTAATCCAAGTCTTGATAGCCCTTGTGGGGTTCCAGAAGAAGGCACATTGCCCGAAACAGGCAAGGAGGTTTCCGAGCCAACTAGCACTGGGGACGCTACAAGTCATGCTAGCACCAATCCTGAACTCCCATCCCAGACAGAAGCCATTGGGCCTTCAGCTCACGAAGACACATCAACCAGGGACTCTGCTCTCCAGGACACAGATGACAGTGATGATGACCCAGTCCTGATCCCCGGTGCAAGATATCGGGCAGGACCTGGTGATAGGTTGGTATGTCTTAAATTAGCATAGACTATAGAAGATGTAACTCACCAGAGCGTATTTGAAGTCAAATGAGAGGCTCTTCATTTTTACGGTTGTTTCATCAGGAAGTGTCACAATCATATATGACACATATATGATGCCACATATTCTTTGAGCAAACTGTATGAAGAAGTGAATAGAAAGTGTCTTTGCTCAGTATCTCTGCCACTGAGGCTTGCGCCTCAATTTTCGGATGAAGAGAGGGAATGTTGAGAATGACCACCAGGATGTTTATGAAGTTAAGGTTACATTAGTTGTCTGATTGTCCTGTAAAGATTATGGCTATTGTTTTTGCTTGTTTGATATTGAATTGGGGGCCTTGATATGTATATCAGACTGGCCTTGAATTTGGTATCTGTAAATGAGGCCGGCCTCAAACTCACAGAGATCCACCTGTCTCTGCCTCCCTATGCACCACTAAGGCTGTTTTTATTTTAATGTTACTTTTTTCTTTTTTATTGTCCCTGATAGTGTGCTAGTTCTCTTTTGGGGAACACTATGTTTTTTTCTGTTTTCTAATATTGTAATGAATGACTCAGTTAAGAAAATGAAAAGGTGCAATGCATAATAAATATTGTAGCAATAATAGAAAATTGAATTGTTAATATATATTTTTTGCAATTTTTGATTTTATATTAACAGAATGAAACATTTTATTTTAGGTGGTAAAATGCCTGTAATCTTTTAAGATAACCAGGCCTGGTGGTACAGGCCTGTAGTCACAGCTACTTGGGAGGTTGTAACAAGAGGAACAATAGTTCAAGGTCTGTGGTGAAGCTTAGTGAGACTGTCACAAAATAAGAAGTAAAAGGAAAGAGGTAGGAATAGCACTCACTTTCTACCATATGGGAGGGCCCTGTTCACTCTCTGGAATCCAAGTAAGGATAGTGTGTTGCATCCCATATACACGGGAAATTATCTGTGTGATTAGTACCATCTTACCTCATTGTTCCAGAAAATCCAGTTTTATCGTTAAAGTCCTAATTCACACAGGAGTGAAGTTCTGTTTAGACCATTTCAAATATTCGTGTGTCAAATAGGCTTTTGCTTATCAAACATTCAGTTTACATTTCTGACATAATTAACACAATTACATATTACACATATATATAAGATTAGTATACCATTCAAAATTACGATCTAGCCTGCAACCTGAGTACTTGGAAGGCTGAGGCAGAAGAATTGCTGTGAGTGTAAGGCCAGCTTGGCTATAGAATGAAATACATTCAAAAATCAAAAACAAAACATTAGCAGTGCTGTATAAATAAAGGCATCATAATTTGGGTTTGAATGTACATTCACCACACAATGTTTTCACAAATATGGTGCTTATTGATTCAAATGCTCAGTTTCCTTCATATATAAAATGGGGTTATGATTATCTAAAATTATTGTACAAATTAAAAATGAGTCAGTCACATTGAAAATTCTGGAACATGTCTTAAACACCCAATATATTTTCCGTAACCCTGAAAAGCAATTACAGTAAGATTGACTCAGCCAGCAGAAGTAATGCATGCCTGTAATTTTAGCTGCTTGGAGGCTGAGGCAGGAAAATTGTTTGAGGTCTAACCTAAACAGTTTAGACCCTCTTACAAGGCAAAAGGAAAAAAAGGAATGCCTCTAAGGAGTAATAAAGGTATTTAAAAAAAGGGCAGCTTTCAGCTCAGTAAAGCCGTCTCTGCTATCCATGGAAGGGGGTGTTCCTTCCCTCAGCTCTGGAAAATATTTACTTTGCTAGGGCACTGTTCAAACAATCTTTCCTTATATTTGTGCTTAGAGATTAATAAAAATACCTTCTACCTGTTAATCATCAACCTCCCATGGTTTTTGATTGTTCAGTTGTTTTGTTTTGAAATAGAGTGTTGTTGTTAGCCCTAGCTGGCTCTGTAAGTCAGACTGACCTTGAGCTCTCAATCCAAGTGCTGAGGTCACAGGCATGTTCTACCAATCCCTGGCCTAGCACTCTTTGTATATATTTTTGGCAAAGTCCTATTCCTTAAAAGGCCATTAATACTTAATGTATACAGGTAAAGTTACCAAGCATAGCACAAGTCGACAATCAAACTGATGGTTTCTAAAGCATTACCATTTTTACAATATTTAAATGATTTCTCATTCTCCAAAAATTTCATCTGCCACAAAGTTGGTACCTGGTAACTTGATTAACCTGGAAAACTCAGGTGTTGAAGATTGATAGTTATGGGTAACAGCTTAGAACTGCCTCCTCTTCATACATGAGCTTAAATTCAGCTGTTATGATTAAATCCAGATTTTAAACCTTTAAACACTGGATATCATTTAATAATCTATATAGTCAGTCTCCTTCCTTAGTTTGGCCTGTATATTACTAGCTTTTATAGGACATAAATTTATAGACTAGTAACAGAAATAATAATAAAATTCTTAATTTTCAGGAAGCTTATTAATTTATTGAAGAACGTATACAAGCCATTCAAAGCAACAGAAAACTAAGTATCTGAAACAAGTAAAATGTCACATGTGCAAACATACCCAACTGAGGTGATGCTAATGCCATTGTAGTGCTCTTTCAGCATTATAGCCATTTCCCTTGAGATTTGCTTTGTCTTTTCTTAGGTTTTTTGTTATTGTTGTTTTGTTTCTTTGTTTGAATATACTTTTTGTTGCATCATTTTGTAGTTCAGAGGTCTTGAATTCAATGTAATCCTTCTGCTTTAGCCTCTGAAGTGGTGGTATTGCAGGCAAGAGGCACCGAATCTAGCCTCTCCTAGCTCTTCACCGAAAGCTGGAAAGTGATTTAAAAAAAAAAAAAAACAAACAAACAAAAAACCCCTCTTTCCTCTGGTCTTTGTGTGGTGTCTAGCTTCCTTGCTGTGTAGTTAAAGAATGTGCCACCTGCTATGTCTGCCCTCTGCTTCATCCTGAGGCTGCTGCCATGGCCATCGGCCTCAGGCCTAGTTTGTTGCTTCTAAATTTGGAGATAAATAGGTTGACTTATATATTAAAAGGAGCCAATTTTAAGAAATTTTACTTGTAAGGACACAAATCATTTACTGTCTTGCAAAATAGCAATATTTAGACTACTTTCTGTCTCTGAAGAGGCAATGTACATACTATACATTGATGAAACACCCAACTAACAATGCAAATCTTGGAGTTCACTCTGCTACCATTTTACCATAGCAGGCCCAGTCTAGAAGTGCAATGTGTCCTCACTGTGCCCCAGAACATTTTTGTTGTTGTTGTTGTTGCCATTTAAAAAGCCCAGTGTGATCTGGAGAGATGGCTCAGAGATTAAGAGCACTGGCTGCTCTTTCAGAGGTCCTCAATTCAATTCCCAGCAACCATATGGCAGCTCACAACTGTCTGTAATGAAATCTGGTGCCCTTTTCTGGCATGCAGGCACACATTCAGGCAGAACACTGTATATATAATAAATAAATCTTAAATGAAATTTTAAAACACCCAGTCAATTGATTTAGTTAGGGTAGAGAAATGGTTCTCACAATTAGTATGATAAAAGTCAAGTAGTTAAACAGTTGAATATGTAGTTAGTTAAATTTTTACTTTAATTTATACAAAAAACTAGTATATGTCATCATTTTGCTTCAATTTTAATTTTTACTTTTATTGTTTCCTAAATTTAAACTTTTAAATGAAACCTTAAAAGTTTCATATATTTAAGATACGAAAGCAGCCCTTGCACTGCAGAGCAGTGACTTCCATAATGCATTCTTTCTGCATTGTGAAGTTGCTGTGGATTTGAAGGTGGCTTTTAATTCCTGACCCTCCTGCTCCCACCTCCAGGGTGAGATTACAAGCATGGGCCACCAAACTTGACTATTGGCATTCTTAAAGTTTTGTCAAATATTAAGCAGATTTGCATTTGGGGGCTAAAATGAAGCATGAAAAGGCAATCCCTCGGAAAGTAAAGGCCATAGCAGCAACATAGATATTTTAAATGTATAATGGTCTTCTCTAACAGCAAGGCTTTATAAAAACACTTTATAAAAACACATAGAGGTATTCAGACTTTTCCCCCAAAGGGCAAGATAATAAATATTTTAGCCTTTGCTGGCCAGGAGGTAAAGTGGAAACTATTGCATAGGCACTTACATAACTATTTAAAATGTAACCATTTAAAAATGAGAAAACTGTCCTTAGCTTAAAGGTCATAAGAAACAGCTGACCAAGAGTTAGCATAAAAGCATTTGCTAATGCCTGCTTTATAACAAATAGTCACAGAGAGAACCCAACTCTATTATAATGTCTTTACTGGCAGAAATCCAAAATTTAAAAAAAATAGATCCTCTTTGTTTAGGATAAAAGCATAAACCATTAAATAGAAAATAAACTGATAAAAAATACATTGTGTTCACTAATGGTTGTATTACAAACAAGTAAAATTGGTATGTTTATTCCTCCACTAATTTTACATGCTAGATTTGTGAATATCAGAATGTACCCTGGGAATGATAGAGTTCCTGGCGTTTGTTTTGAAGACAGGATCTCATTGTGTAGCCAGCCCTGGCTGGCCTCGAACTCCACTCCTGCCTCCAGAGTGCTGGGATTAAAGGCATGCAGCACCACACCTGACAAGCCTTTTCTTAGGTAATTTTCATGTAAGCTGTTCTCACAGTGCCAGCTCCATCATGGAGTAAATGGAATGATGACTTTTTTTTTTCTTTCTTCCTAAATCAAAGAAGAAAATAAAATTACTCTGAAAAAAGACAAGCAAGTGAAACTTTGTGAAGTCCTTACTTAGTGCACTGAAAATATACTTCTAATGAGTTTTTCTAAAGATTTAAAGTATTAGTCCCCTATTGCTTCACTATTTTTAAAGTACATATCATTTGCATTGACATTTTAGTCCATCCAGCCTTCCTGGACTCTGTGGAGCCAGAATTCTTTGTACTATAAATATGCCAGCATTTCTTCACTCATTATAACTGACTCATTTAATGACTCCACTTGCTTTATT